GCCCTTATAGAGCCCGTTAAAGGAACCCCTGCAATCTGCTTGAAAGGAACCCTAAAGCCCCGTGATTGAACCCCTGAAGCCTCAGGCAATCCGCTCTCGGGGCAGTTGGAGGGCCCTGTCTTGGAGTGCAAGGAAAAGATCTGCGAGGCCTCTCCAAGCCTCCTGGGAGGGGTTTTAGTGCCCCTTGCCCGTGACTCCAAAAAAGGGGCTCCTTTAACGCTGTTAAGGGTTTAGGGTTTAGGATGGCAGTGTTTAGGGGCTGGGGGTTTCAGGGTTAAGGATTTTAGGACTGTAGGGTCTACGGTGTTGAGGTTTGGGCTTGGTTTGGGGTGTGAGGCTCTTTTTGAAGGGGATTCTAAGGGTTCCTTTAAAGGGCTCTATAGGGATACTACATGGGTTTGGGTGATTAGGGTTTGGGATTGGGGTTTAGGGGCTAGGGGGTTTGGGGGTTGAGGGTTTAGGATTTTAGAGTTTAGGGTCTGCGGTTTTAGGGTTTGGGGTCTCGGAGTTAAGATTTCAGGGAGAGAGTTGTAAAGTGTGCAGGGCTGGGCTGGAGGCATGAAGCCGATGCTCTCGACGGCTTCTTGGGTTCCGTTAGTAAGTTTAAAGGAGGTACATACCGAAGAAATCTTCGGGCATAACTTACTTAAAAACATGACACCGTGAGCCACAAGCGTAATTCCTTAAGCTTAAGACTTACGACTCGAAAGTTTGGGCCCTTAAGCCCGAAACACTGCACCATACCTTACGGAGGTTGCGCAGCTGCCAGCAAACTACAGCACAGCTGATTGCGCAGCGTGGTCGCAGAATCTCCGACCTGCAGATGTCTCGGTTCATACTCCTTAAAGCCTCCAGGTTCATGCTAGGCTAAGATGAGTAGCAGTGCTGCTGCTGCTGCTGCTGCTGCTGCTGCTGCTGCTGCTGCGGGTGGTGGTGATTCTGCTGACAAAGATGAGGACGGAGATGGTGATGGTGATGAAGTAGAAGAAGAAGATGATTATCCGAAAGACAAGGAGGATAGTGATGATGCCACAGTGGTGACAAGAAGCATAGTCCTTGTTTGGATGAGCCTTACACGGATGACGATCTAGGTAGCAGAAGTCAGCTGCAGATGCCCATGAGTATGACGATGTACTTGTAAAAAGCCAGGACCATAGATATACCATAGATGATGGTGAGGAGTGCAGAGCGATGCCCTTCTTTCGTCAGAGTGCGTGAGTGCAACCATGTGATCGCGGCCTTGCTTATGCATCCTTCCCAGCTGCCAGCCGGAGCCTAAAACGTAAACTCTCCACAGCTCTACCAAGTTTTGCAAGCCTTCAGAATTCTTGGCCGACCGGGACCGGCAAGAAAGAGAGCTGTTGTGGGGTGGGCCAGGTTTCCTAGTGATGTCGTAGTGTAACTTGAGTGGGAAGACCCTGCTGAATAAGGCAGACACCAAAGTAGGTGAGTTCTGCTGCCTGGCTCGCACGGCATTTGGTGTTCAGGGCTCAAGATTTGGGGCCCATGCAGCTGTGAGGTTTGACAGCCATGCAACCCTCTAACGGTACCGACCACAGTTCGAGTGTTGGTGGTGTTCAGGTTTGAAGTGTGGGTTGGAGTCTGAACCACTGAACCCTAGTCCATCCAGAACTTGCACCGCTTGAGAGGCCGACAACACGACAACATGTCGAAAGCCTAAGCCATGACCTACTATAAGGGCCTGAATAATTACCAACACTATTTGGGGGGGTTCCTTATCAGAATTATAGCATAATGGGCCCCAAAACACTATTCTAAATATTAAGGCCTCTGTATGGAAAAGTCATCGGGGTTTGCATGGTAGTTGCCACCGTCATGGCTGTAGCAACAGATGTGGTGTAGTCAGTCAGTCGGCATTCCGGTGGTAGTGGTAGCGAGTCGTGCCTATTGATAGTAGCGCCCGTGGTATATCGTGGTATGAAGAACGAGTTGTGGAAGAGAATAAGACAAGCTCATATTCAGGGCCTGCCAACGGTTATAACTTATAACTTCGAAAATTAGAATTAGAAGCCTTAGGCGTTTGGTATACAGTATCATGGGGTGGGGGCTCCAAAATCAGGCAGCTCTTCCTACAGAAGCTAAGGCCACCCAGTGGCCTTGGCATTTCCCATAGGGTTTGCTTCCATTCTGCCGTCACGCTCGGCTGAGGCGTTGTAGCTTGTCCTCCAGGCTACACGGGTCAGGACGGCACCCTAAACCCTGAACCCTATAAACCCTAAACCCTCAACCGACCGACCAACCAACCAACATGCCTGTGAGTCTCTGAACTCTCAGCTGTCTGAACCGGGGGAATTATCATCATGGACGCGCACTTCTCAGTGGAAATCCGTCGGCTTACAACCCCGAGGCACTAAGCACTGACCACCAGCCAGAGTCAGAGTGAGGGGAGAGAGAGAGAGCTACAGTAGGCTTAGTAGGATCCTTAATATTATAGTAGGGTCCTTAATGTCTTATATAGTAGGATCCTTAATATGATTGAAGGTATATTGGGGAGAGAGGGAGAGAGAGGAAGACATGCAGAGCGAGCATGGCCTTTGAGTTCGAGTGGGGAGCCGAGGCTCTCTTACATCAAAGGGCCTTAATGGGGACCCCTACCCTATAATTGGGCTATATAATGGGTATACAGTAGCTATATTAAGGGTATATACCTAGAGGTCCTTATTAAGGGTCCCTCCTTTTACCCTTGGATTACGAGTTCTTACGAGGCTTTCAAGGATTCGAAAGAGGCTTTGTCAGCTGCCGTCCGGGCGGTAACACGCTTCCAGGGCTTTGGGGGATGTAGCGAAAACAGAAAAGCATCCTTATGAAAAGGACCCCGAAGGAGGACCCAAATCTGGAACACTATGTATGGAGCCAGCTTGGCTCTCAAAGTTTCTGCGTGTGTCTCGGTGTTTGCACGCAGGATAACCTCTTCGAATGCCAGGCCTACTGCTTTTCAGCGTTTGTATGGCTTTAGGGTTCGTTCGTTGTCTTAAGGTTTAGGGTTCAGTGTTTGTGTCGGGGTCCGGCCCGGGGTTTAGGGGCTCAGCTTTGAGGCTTGTTCAGCTGTGAGGCTTGTTCTACTTGTTCGTCGTGGTTTCTATTCGTCTAGGCAGACCCCTCAGACTTCTCTCGCAGAGGGTTTCGTCATTTAGGGCTGAGGATTTTTGATCCATCCCTGCATGGGCAATGCATCAGAGTTTTTTTGCAAGCATGCAATCGCCAATGCACACGGTTCCATCTCCGGGTAGAACTATCAACTCCTACCAAGAGGGTGCATACACACTACTATTATGGCATCAGGTCCCAAAACCCATAATGGGGATGGTCTTGTGGGACCGAATTCTAAAATGGTAGTATATGTGGACCCTCTGGGTCAGCAGAAATTCCTGGGAGAAAGGCCATCGGTTTCCTCTTTGCTTGTCGTCCTTTTCGGTTCCAAAAAGCCCCGAACCCTAACATCGGGGCCTTAATAACTACCATTACTATTATTGGGTTCCTTCCCTAAGGGTCCATGTACTCATATAGTATATACATTGGCCTTAATGTAGTCCCTATATAGGTACTTTGGGGCTCATGTATCTCTATATGAGTACATGGACCCTTAGGGCTTATTAGGAGGACAGCATACTGGGCCCCAAAACCCAGTGCAGTCATTTGTTTGCGCTGTGCCATTTCGACAACCAAATGAGCTGCTTTACATGGGAGGTTGGCTTGCCTGACCTGGGACGGCAGGGTGAGGGAACGATTTTGCGTTCCATGGGGCCGCAAAGGGCAAGACGACGTATGCGCGACTACGCTGCCAAGGAAGCTTGCACAGTAATCTTGATTTGCTTCTTCTCACAAATGTTCACATTCTGACTTGAGCCGATTGTCAAAGCCTGCGCCTACTGCTAACTGCTGATGTTACCACAGGACTCAGCAGTTGATAAAGGAAGGTATGCGCGAAACCTTCGGCAGGCGGATGGCACTTTTGCTGGCACCCTTCCAAGCTGTGAACGAACGCCGTGCATAACAGGCGCCAGCAGCTCATGTCATCATTTGTGCCACTTGCGTAGGACTTGGCCACGAGTAATGGAGTCGTAGTAGTCCCTGTGGAAGTTCAATGGCAGCTTTTGAGTTTATCCGCAGCATGGAGCCGTAACGCTTGCGCTCGAAATTCTTCGAATGGGTCAGGGGGCTTGCCAGTCTCGCCCGGGCTCGACGTCAGCAGCTGCATGTACCTTTTCGCAGGCCGCCTGGCCCGAAGGTTTCGGTTCACTTCTTTCTGTCACCGAGCTCTTTCCCTGAATCGTGCTTATGAAACTCTGTACGTATGTTTATTTTGAACTAGTAGAATGCGATGTATACATGCATACGGCGCTACATGCGTGATATGTACGTGCGATTTTGAGTACATGCTGTAAGGTATATCTGTGTATGAGCAGTTTCGATCTAGGTGTCCATGTGTGGATTGTCACATTGCGCAACCGCCTCTTAAGCAAGAAAGTATGTATCTGAAATCGTACCTGTATGCATGCATATAGCCTTGCAAACATGCCAGTCTTGCGGACCTACGTCCGACTAATTACGTCGCAGAGACAGGTTTCTGCATATGTACATGAACATGTTCGTGCATGCAAGAAAGCCTGCATGTGCAGGTATGCCAGCAGTTCTGTCACCTCAGCCTTAGGGGTGCCATAGGTCCTCAATCATCACGCCCTCAAACCCCAACTGTAAGCCCACAGCCTGAGGCTTGCTAATCCTATTATTGTTTCATTATCACGAACTTTTCCATTATTATTTGCTAAGCTCGTGTGAGACTCTTGCGGAGATGTCTCAAGAGAGATCCCCCTTCTGCCTGCACCCACACACACAAAATAAGTGTGTGTGTATATATATATATATATATATACACACCTACACCCCAACACCAGCACACCCCATAGCCCGCGCCCAGCAGCGTGGTGAGCTCTGGCATCCTTTTTTCCTGTAAACTACATTGGCAGATGAATTCGTCCATGGACGATGCCATGCTGTGTTTGCATTCTCCAGCGAAGCCGGACCAAGTAATCCAGCAGTTCAGCGGCCGAGGTGAGACCTGCAACATCACATGCGCATTGGGCTTCGAAGGGAGCGCATCCACCTACAGCTGTGCCTTGGGACAAACATGCAGAGCAGCACTGCAGGTTCTAACGTAAATACATGCTGTTTCTTGCCTCTACATCTTGCTATGTTCCAGACGGAGGGCAGAGCTTGCAGACGTTTCTGTGTACTCACACATAGTTTGTAAACTATTAGTAGTAATCGCTGCATGCACTTTTTGTGGAAGCGCTGTGGCCGACATCCAGCATACCAACATCTGGTCACTAAGCGAGCCCTAAATGCCCGAAATCGCATTAACATATACGGCCATTTGTCAGAACGGGAACTAAAGTCCTAAATCCTCTAAAATCAAAAAGGCCAACGTAACTGAACCATGAACCGTGAAACATGAGGCCAGTTCCGGTTCACACCCTGGGTCCGTTTTGTCGGAACCTGTAGCCATATCACGTGCAGTCATTGTGCACTCATCCCGCCGGTGTCCAAGTTCCAGATACCACGATCGGAATCTTTAGCGATCTCTATTATTTCCATCCACTCACTTCCATCGCTTGTCTCCACGACCTTCCAGAAGGTCCTAAGACTCCCAAACCCTAAAATCCTGAACCTCCATCGTCAAACGAATGCATCATGGACCTCTACCCTAAACCCTACACCCTATGCCTCGCCTTGGTTGTCCGAGTGTGAGCGCCGAAACCAAAAACCCTAACCGCCATCGAGGCGACATGGCGGGTGACTTCGCAGGCACTCCGCCGAGCTGCACTCCGAAGAGCCCCGTGGCTGCTTTTAAGAGCTTTTAAGGAACTCATAAATAGGGCACCCGAAAAGTACAAGCAAAAGTTCATTTTCAGTGATATCCCTCCCTTCTTATGCTGCATCATGCAATGGGTTTATCTGTGCTTTTTGGTGCCCTAGTAAAGGGTTCCTTTCGGGCGTACTAGGAGTTCCGGGTTCAGAGTCACCTGAGGTTGTGGTGTGGCTGAACTTGAGTCCAATAGCATAAAGAATCAGTTGATACTTGAAGGTTAGAAGCCATAGCGCCAGTCCTCAAATGTCCGCGGATCCGATCATCGGGGAATATCACAGCCTCCCCATGCCTTGGAGTATTTCAATCTGTATCGTCACAACAGAGCGTGTCAAGACCACACTTTCATTTTTCGCTGCATCTTTGAATGCTTAATTGGAGGTTCATCGGTAGTTAGAAGTGGAGTTATAACTAGGGCCTAGGGAAACTATAATGATAGCCCATATTAGGGGACTTTGAACCCCACTTAGAACTACCCATGAGCCTCAAGTAGTTGGCTTATATCTTCAAACCCTGAACACTAAAGCCCTAAACCCTAGACTCGCCCTAGACCCCTAAACGATTAAACCTTAACCCCCAAAGCTCTAAAACATCCTAAAACCCTACAGCCCCTGACCTGATCTTCCCAGCCGTTTCCGAAGGGTGTGACGTCCCGGCCGAGTTCTTTGGCAGCGTGAGGTACAACACGAGCTGCTGCTTGGGATGCATGGATTGATGGCTCTTACGATTACACTTGATTACAACTAGTAGTTGATAATAATAGCTATTACAGTATTGTCAAATTGTTATGACTAGATCTACTGTCAAGACTGTTATTACTATGCTTCGTTGAACTGCTTGGTGAGCGAGGTCTGCGATGTACGATGATCCCATGTAACTATATAGCATGCGCAGGGGATCTGCTCTCTGTTGGTAGCCAACTTGGAGGGTCGGGGGACTTAGTAGCTGGTTCTTTTAGGGACTTATAAGTACCATAACCCCAATAAGGGTCCCTTTTAGGGTACTTATAAGTCTACCTACTACTTACTTACTAAGTCCCCCGACCCTCCAAGAATGCTGTAAGGACAGCGATATTTGTATTGCGGCTAAGAGGCATGAGCGATCCCACTAGTCATTGCAAAATTTCATAGCAACAGAAAGGAGCATGGGGTAGAAACAATATGTCCAAGGAGACGAGCAGACAACGATGCTAACGGCCAGAATAACCAGCAGGATGCGGGTAAGGGCAAAGCAAGCCTTACAGTAGCGATACTCCAGAGACTCCAAAACTCTTCAGCTAAGGCATATATACCTTAAACCAAACTAGGCTTCCTAGCTTACTTGAAGGTATTTTCCTTAAATAAGGGGCTTTGGGGTCTCTTGGACCAGCAGCTACGACATCGGCGACACCAGGGCGCTGGGGCCCCTGTCCAGTTGGGTGCGCAAACACTGGAAGGCTCCGCAACCCTTTTCCAATTTCCCGTTAGCTGACACTGTCTAGGGTCAAGGGTCTTGTCTCCGAGGTGCCGGCGTGACGCACGGGCAGAGCTGCATGACCAAATGCAACCAAGGCCAGCGCACATGCACAATACGTTCTCCAGCCCCAATTCGAATCATGTTATGAAGATCTGAATACCTTCTCAGTAGTAGTCCCTATATGATCATGGCTAGGATATATCCCCAAAGCCCTAGCCCGCTTGTTATGGCCCCTACTGTATAGCATAACATAAAAAACGACGTTTCAGTGTCTGGGGTGCAAGAGCCGAGTCGGAAGACAAGCTTTTGCGGTCCGAATCATCAGAAAGAAAGATTCCTAAGGTCCGAAGGTTATTTTGGTGCATTTACCGTATATGTAGTGTATTCTACAGCCGCCTGCTACCCCTCCCTGATTGTTCAGGTCCGAACAGTAGGTTTAATTTGCAGGCAGACCACAGGTGCCAACGAGTATCACGGGCTTCCGAGGCAAAGTTTGCTTGAGGGTGGCTTCACACTTACATTACAGCGCTTCACGACGCCACGCCTCATCTCCTCTAACGCCCTGTGCAGTTTAGGATCCAGGCTCCAATACCCTGAACACGAAATCGAAAAGTCCATGAGCATGACAGCTCTTGAGCTGTGTAGATCCAAGCTTATAATTATATGCCATGTAATCCCAGAGCCCCAGACACTAACAAACAAGAAGACGGTCAAGCCCAAAGATTCTTTGTGCAGGATACTCCGGCCTCCCTACACAGCAGCGCTGCTTCAACGGGATCTTCAGCGGTGTGCCGCCAACCTGCTCGGGCAACCCCTGCTCTTTCGAAGGCCGATGTCGCCAGGATGTCGCTTTCGGTCCGGTCCGCAAGCCGCAAGCCCCAGGGTTTGGGATTTAATCCCATAGTGAGGACTCCATGTCAAGAATCTGCAAGCGATATGCAAAGCCAGCATGCCCTCTCTACGCCTCAAAACCGTTGACACCTTGGACCACTGCTTGGAGGTTATGGATAGCCGTAGGTGGGGTTATAAGTAGATATTTAGAACCTATTTCAGGGGACTTGTAACACCACTTATAATTGCCCATTAACCTCTAAGACTCTACGTGCTTCCCTCACCCAAGTCAGCACAATCGGAGCTTGTGGCTTGCACTCAGACCCTTGAACTTGTTTTTCATATGGGCAGTTCTCTATACTGGAGCCCCTTTCAGTGTCATATTTTATACAGGTGCCGTATTATGTTGGGGGCAGATAAAAGGACCCTTATTAGAGAACTGGTTAGGGCTATTACGATCTCGAAGCCTGATGCAGCACTTCGCATGGGGAGGCTTCCAGCTCGGCAAGGGGGTCAATGCTTCTACCTGCTTCGGTCTCGTGACACAGGAACCTTGCAAGCATGACCCGGACTTAGGGTTCAGGTCACGATAGGCTTCCTGTCTTCAATCAAGTTAATCCTTTCATTGTCTGGCCCCAAGAACTCACCAGCTAGCCTTGAATAGGTTTGAAGCTCGTAATCAACAGCGGTTTGGCTCAGAATGTGTTCGGTGTTTCGTGACAGAGCTCACGAGCTACGGTCGCAACCTAACTCCTTTCACACAAACTTTGGGAAAGAAGCAGGATCGTGGAGAATTCTTGGCTCCCAAAATTGTTAGCGAAATCGAAATCGATGGACTCATCTCGACGAGATGAGGAAACGGTTGAAGCAACATTGCATGCCGGAGTTTTTGATGAGACAGGCAACGATGCTTGAAAGTTTCTGTCCTATCACAATTGTCTGCATCAGTTAGTGACCTCGTTGTTGTTGAAGTTTTCTTCCGGCCTACTGCAGACACTCATCTTGAAACAAGTCAACCTCAAACTCGTGTCGGGTTCCTGTGCCTCTGGTTCACCCTGAACCCTCTGCGACACCCTCGATACGACACTCAACCGCAAAGTCATCGAAACCTTTATGAACACCTAGAATCTTGGAGAAACCCACAAACCCCTGCAGAAGCCCTAAAGACTTGTTGAGACGAGGAGACGTGCACGCTCAGCTGCTTGCGGGGCCATACAATTCAAGGCTCTTGAATGGGGTTCTTCTGGCTTCTTCCGGTTTTTAATCGTCTTAGGGTTCTCCTGGAGTTTGGTTCAGGATTGCGGTCGTTCTGAGCCTACGGTATCTGCTGTGTGGTTCCAAGCCGCAGGCCACACCTTGGGTCTGCAGCATTTACATGGCAAGTCCAATAGGGCTTTGGAACCCTACGGGTTAAGGGTGTTTAGGGTGTGGCCTGGCTTGATCCCGAGATGTATATAATATTTCTTTCACAAGCTTAATCAACGTTCTCGTGCAGGCAAATTTCGTTCAACACCGGCCTAGCTTCCGGGCTCAGCAAATCTTGAAGTCACAATGGCCCTATAAACACTACCCAACCCCACGTGCATGAGCGTGAAAGCCAAGCTCTGAACGAAAATTTGCCAACTAGTGCGCTTTCCATTATCGCTGGCCGGGGAGCTCAATCAAGCGCATGCACAGGATTGTCACGATCCCCGTGGAAACCCATGGGTAGTAAGTCCATGGTGCAAGTTGATTCCGTGTTCCTGTCCATAGCCGAGCAATCTCATGCAAAAAGACTCTCGCTTCGAGAATACTTGGCACAGGAAACGACCTCGTCTTGACGTGCCAAGCAAGCGGCGAGTTCACGGCCACAGATGCCGAGTGTGTTCCCCGACTTGGATCGGTCTTGGTTTCGTGCTTCAGTAATGGGAGACTGCATGAGCAACTGCAACTCCGACACTCCAGACCTTACAGAAAAGGAGTGACCCAAAACCTGACGACCATATGCTGCGGATATTTTACGTAGTATGGATACTGCCCCCCTAAGTAGAGTGTTACTGTATGGGGGCAGTATATAGTCACAGTAGTATAGCAGATTCCAGAAGCAGAAGTACTACTAGTCCCGTCCTGCCCGGGGTGCTTGCAAGCCTTGTACCCCACACCATCCCGGAACCCCTGACCTCGGGGCCTAAAAAGTGAACAAGTTCCCATATAGTTCCAATCTGGGTGCATGTAGTATGACATACTATATGCACCTACATTGGACTGATATACCCCCATTAGTGATTGTTTCCGTACAGTAAAACTCACATTAGAACCTGGATCTGATAATGAGTTCAGCCCCCTAGTCTATGTGATACGCCCCTGTTTATAACCCCACCCCCAATCCTAAACTTTAAACTCCCTCCCCCTCCCCCTTCAAACCTTGAAACCGTCTGTTTGAGGTACCTGCGCAGTGTGGTGATCTAGCCTTGGTCTCGCCATTTGCTTCCCCCGCCGTGCCTTGGCTTCGCAGTGTAGGCATTTCGCGTTTAGGTACGCAGGGTGTAGGGTTATAGGGTCTGGAGGTTTAGGGTTCAGAGGTCACGAAGCTCAGGCTTCAGAGATTTAGGCTTCTGAGGTGGTTCAAGCTTTCTGGCTCAGGCTCAGGGGTGTTTTAGCCATGTAGTGAAGGACTTAAGAGTGGCTTTGGGGAGTTTGGGCTCTATGTGTACAATCCAGGGCGAGGTTTTAGACGGTCATCGCGATGTTGCCTTCTTGTGTTTGGCATACTATTGAGGTCTGCGGTCTGAATTCTAGTACATAATAATTTCGTATGCCCCGAAGTCCCTGTATACCCATACCCCAAACGCTGCGCGAATGGTCCCTACATGACGGTTTCACTCCGAAAATTGAAAATTGAAGGGCCAGGCTCGAGGTCTTAAGCAAGAAAGGAAACCCAGAGACTCCAATATCCCTTAAGGAATATTCCTTAAATCATATCAGGGATCCTACTATAGTTTAAGGTATATTCCCGAACTAAGCGTTATTGGATTCTCTGAAAACCTAGCAAGTAGGGTTAGGGCCCTTATTTCAACTGCGCCGTTGCCAGACCGTCACTCAAAAACTGCTCCATATATAGCGCTAATTACTTAGGGCTTGGTGTCAAAGTGAGGTTGCCGTATTTTCGAAAAGTCCACTAACCCTGAACCCCTGTCGGAGAGTACCAGGTAGATGATTCCTGCAATGACGGAAATGTCAACAAGCAGTTTGGTGAGGCGGGTTTCTCTTTGACCTGGTGGGTTATAGGTGTATAGTGTTATGTAGAGTTTCGGGTTTGGGGTTGAGGGTTTGGGGTTCAGGGTTTTGTGGTAACTTGGAGGCACGTCAGAGACCTCGTTCAACAAGGATTTTGTGGTTACAGGTTTGGTGGTTTGGGGTTCTACTGTAGGGTGTAGGCAGGGTTTTAGACTTATAAAGATGGGTTTAGAGTTTAAAGTTCAGTGTGGACCTGGATCGTTCAACTCGGCAGGTTTTAGTAGTCAGGGCTTCTAGGGTGCAGGGCTTTCGTGCGATTCAAAACGAGTTTAGGGGTTGGGCTTCATAGTGGCTTCATGGAATCAGTACATATACATGCACACCCACACTCACACGAGACTGTGCGGGGGGCATGACAGAGACGAGGTAGACAAGGACGGACCCACAGACTCACGTATCTACACTAATTATGCGCAAATTTACTTTTATATGGGTTTGTTTTTGTTCGCAAGCACATAGATACATGCAAGCCCCTGCATGCATACAAAGATGCACGTGTGCATGCAGACACGAAAGTTTTTTGGATGTATTTTAGCCTCGTCGTTGAAGGTTCAAACGAGCTCAACCATCAAGTGCTTAATAAGCTATGACAGCCGTCTCTGGGTCAAGGATTTGATCTCGGATGGGGGCAGCTTCCGCCCCGAATGAAAGATAAGCACTGTCGTAAACGCGGCCGAGCTGAGCTGCACGTTTTGCGTGCTGCGGCCGCGCCACAGAACTTTTCAAGCCAAGATAGTCTTTCCGATCTCTCTCTCTCTCTCTCTCTCTCTCTCTCTCTCTCTATATATATATATATATATGCATGCATGAAACACTCAGGACTCAGCAGTCTGACTTGCAACAAACTGCAACGCAACGCCATCCTCATTAATTATTTGCCTTGCACTACACTATAAGCAAAGGCCAATGACAGGTAAAACGCCCGACCGGCAAAGGTCAAGTCCTTTCGCATCATAGAGCGGCATAGATTGAACGTGTAATCATGGCATTGCAGACTGTGATAGAGGGACAACAACAAGAAGTGTTAATGACTAGTGATAGTGAGTGATGACAGTAACATCAAGCACCCCGCCGAGATTACGAATACTTTGAATCCCCGAAACCCTAAACCGCTAAATCCGTAGCCTTTTTGGCTCAAGAGCCAACTTGTGCGAAGTGATCTGGGCCCTGGGCGCACGCACATTCAGAGGGGCTGACCTTTCTACTGATTTTCTGAGAGGACGGAGGTGCCAACTGAGTTGGTGAGTCGACTCTTCTGTTGTTGATCATGGCTGCCGCAGCAGATGTCAACCCTGACCTAGCAGTGGCCTAGCAGTAGATTTCATCAAAGCAGTCTTCGGATCCGAGGACGTGCTGAGAAATTCGCCGATCCACATGTGCACAGCTCACGCAACCTTCTCTTTCCCTGGCGGTCAGAGGGGGTGGTTCTCGACGCTACTCATCGATTTTAGTGTCTCGCAGTGCTTGATTGGTTTCAGAACTGAAACCCGCGAAGCACCGATCGCCCAGTCATTGCTTACGCCTTTGTTCGTCGGGAATTGGCTTCATCGGAGATTCGGAAGGGGCCGGAAGACTTTTGAGTATTTCGGTGCAAATCTTGATGACATCCTGGCTATACCCTGGGTGGGGTACGCCGACCTCCTGGAGGCCATTCCAGCTGTTGGCAATTCTGCTGCTTTCAACATATGTGTCAAACCTGCCGGTCTGCAGCAAAGGTTATATCGTGACGCTTGTGTTTGCTTTCGCACTCAGAGTGTTCATGGTTACGAGCGTCCTGCCAAGAACAAGTGGCAAAGTCGGGAGGATCAACAGGCAATATTACGTGGCATCATGCGTTGCCATCGTGGTTGGTCTGTCATTGCTCACGGTGCTCCACCAGGAGTGCTTTTGCAGCATTTGGTGGACGAGAGCATACTTGTGCAGCCACCAATCTACCAGCGGCTGGCATTGCGAACTTGGTTGTGTTTGTCGGTTTGGTTGTGATCATAGTGACATAGTGTTTGCTTTCGCACTCAGAGTGTTCATGGTTACGAGCGTCGTGCCAAAAACAAGTGGCAAAGTCGGGAGGATCAACAGGCAATATTACGTGGCATCATGCGTTGCCATCGTGGTTGGTCTGTTCATTGCTCACGGTGCACCACCAGGAGTGCTTTTGCAGCATTTGGTGGACGAGAGCATCCTTGCGCTTTGTGCAGCCACCATTCTACCAGCGGCTTGCATTGCGAACTTGGTTGTGTTTGTCGGGTTGGTTGTGATCATAGGTCTCATGTTCCCATTTTTGACACTCATTCAGGCTGTTGCCTTCGCATTCCTACTGATGGTTCTGTTCTTCATGTTCTGCTTGGTATCTGCTTCAGGTGTACTCGGAACAGCTTCTATGCAGCGTCCCAAGTTCGCGTGTCATAGTTTCGGCTCCGTTCTTACTGGTCGGACAAGTGTTCACAGTTAGTCTGAACGTTGCGACGGCGGTCTACTTACTCTTGTGGGTCAGACTGGCTTCCTACCTCGGACAACTCGTGGGACCAGTTGCTTTTGGTGGCATAAGCTTGATGGGTCTCATTGCATGCTGCTCGCTCACTATACAGGACATCCAGCATGCGGACGCCCTCCTTCCAATGAAGGCAATCGCAACTTGCGGTCAGAATCGAACGAACGTTGACATGAATGGCCGTGTCCGTGTCAAGCCTTCTGACAAGGAGACTCCCAGACGGGAGGAGCCAAATCGAAGAACAAGTCCAAAGCCAAGGCGAAAGCTAAGGCAGACGCAAAGACCGAAACCACCAATGCCAATGACTCCGGAGGTGATAGCATAGCTCCCAGCGACTCCGTTTCAGCTGCCCAGGCGAAGAACCAAGCCAAAGCAGCTAGAGGCAACAACGGAAACTGCGGCCGCTTCCTCAGAGGCCCAGACTCCCGCTCCTGACGATGCCAGTGGCAGCGCGAAAAGCCGTACATAACTACGCATCGGTCTGTCTGAACGGTCGAGCATTGCTTTCCGAGTGGAACCGAGACGTTCCGTGGTGTTAAGATCATTTCAGATCGACAAAAGGGAGGTGGTGAAAGGAAAGCGTGACAATTTCGTGATATCCCGCAAACGATCAACTTGGAGGAGTCGGTGCCAAATCCACAGCTGATGCGTCAGGGCCCATCGCCGCTGACGTCATTCATGACGGGGGACGGTAGAGTGCTCATATGTCCCTCGCAATGTCATTGTACGCCTCTTTGGGGCGCAGTTCTATAGTTGTTGCTACTCTGGCGTTTTGGGGCAGGAACGTAGGTTTCCTTTTTGCCCTAGATGTTACTCTCTTTCTCGTACATTGCCATGCCATACTCCGCTGCCCCCGAAGCCTGTGACCCCTGAAGAATGGAGTCCCATGAGTGCGAGCAAGCATGCATGTTTAGAATTTGATGCATGTGCATGTTTGGCATGTCTTGCATGTAAAGTTTCCCGTTGCATGTCGATGTTTATACATGTATATAAAGTCATTCGTGAATTCCATGAATTCATGTGATGCTCGTCCGCGCTGTTTGGGACTCGAGATGCTGCTGTGACTAATGAATGTGCTACAAAGACGGGAGCTTCAAGTCGTGAGTGCGTTCAAGCTTTTGAGAGAGGCGAGCGTTGGTCGATAAGCACATGCCCACTTCATGTGAACGTTTTTCCTTTTCGTGGCTTCGCTATTCAGCCACGCCCTCCCCCGTCAATGTACCGGCTTCGCTTGCCCGCTTGACCCGACAATTGGCGGTGGAACAATCGTTCTCGTTCGTTCCTGGTCTGGTCGTCTTGTTTCGTCTCTCAAATAAGATGCCCTGGCTCGCCCCCTAACAACTCCTTAACCCGCTGTGACCGAACCATGACTCTCGGTTCCTTGTGCCGTGGCGGTTGGAGCGAGCTCGTGTCATTCGACTCTGCTGCGCGGAACAATTGGAAGCTGCCGGGATGTTACATCATGGCACTTCGAATTGATATTGCTGCATGGATGTGACCTACTTGCGATCCCTTCCTGTACGAGGTGTACCGACAAAAACATGTGGGTGCAACACATCATGGCTGCTCTGGCTGAGATTCTTGATTTCTGAGAGTTGCCACATGATGTGGTATTACTATGAAACGATGGCTGCGAGTTGTTGCTTGATTGGATGTTTGTCTGCATGCGCATTCATGAATTTGTGCAAAAACAGCTCTGGTTGCGTTTCCTGAATTCTGAGAGTTGCTACGTGATGGGAGAATTCCTATGCAATGCTGGCTACTCTGGTCAGTTCTGGTTGATTGGTTCTTGGCTTGCATGCGTATTCAGGACTTTCTGCATGAGAAATGTGAGCAAGGTTCTGGATGCTGTCGCAGGATTGTCAAAGTTCGTGACACGCTCGATGAGTTGACTGCGTGAGTAATCGCGAACTCCTTTTGCACGCAGCATGAAGTTTAAGACGATCATGTGGGAGCTGCATGCGGCATGCGTATTCGTGAATTCTTTTGCAAGTGGCATGCATGCAGGGAACGAGCAATACAGCAAAGTGATCTAGGCAAGATTGGGTCTTGGAGCCTGGTGTGATTCAGCATCACATCGTTCAAAGACTCTTGAATCGAAGACGGCTGCAAAGGCCGAATAGGGTGGAAGATGCATGCCGAACGTGATCGCGAGATGACATTGGAATGAGCATGTCTGTGGAAGATTAGGTGGCCGGAAGATGTGTTTTCACCAACCCTGGTAGACAGCTAGGACGACTTTAAAGCCAATGCAGCCTGGAGTAGCCCATGTGCTTGATCGTTCTGGTACCTGGATCCTCGCCTGCTTGTCTAGTTGTGAGTGCTGGAAACCGCTAAATCCCTAGACCTTAAACCCTAACCGTTCGTAAAGGGGATTCCGACAAAAACCTCCGAGAGGTCTGCTTCGCTTTCTGCGCTCCGGGATACAGCCTTGACAGCAACGCCACACTCCTCATGTGCGAAGAGGCTGCCTAAGTTTTAGGGTTTTTTGGATTTAGGGGTTTAGGGTTTTACGGTTTCAGGGTTTTAGGGTTTCGGGAAGGCTGTCTTTGAACGGTGTGGTGAGGCCAAAGGCGAGGCGGCTTAGCTTCCAGAAACTACGACGAGCTCTGTAAGAAGAAGCCTTTCCACACGGTAACAACACTAAGCATCGTTCTATGAAGAACCAGGGTTTTGTATTGATCAACTTCCTTCGGTACGGTGCTGCCATATCTGCACCGTCACTTTGTCATTGTAAGAGGTGAGTTACGAAAAGGCCAGCGACAAGTATGAAACTGCTGGAACAACCGAGGACCTTGTCTGGCTGCTTACCTGATCTACAGAACCCTATCAACGCTATGAGCCCTTAAGACACACTTTATCAAAAAGTATATCCAGTCGCTAGCCTTCCAGCCTTCGACCAAGTACGGGGTGCAGGCGCCTGATAGTAGCGCCGGCTTCAAGGAAATGGCAGGACCGGCTTTTTTGCAGGGTTGTGGAAAGGTTTTCTGGGATTACCATCAGAGTTTTACCAGATTTTGAAATAGTATGGGTTGTAGGGTTTTAGGTTTCATATTTCATATACTCTCGCAAGGGTTTTCAGAGGGTTTTATTGCGTTGTAGGTCTATTGAACTGAACTTGTAGGAGTTGAGACTTGTTTGGGCCATTGCAGATTCTAGATGGTTTCTCACGGCAATCTATAAAATAATTTGAGCAAGAAAAAACTGCTGGTTATATCTTCGGGGGATGGGGTCTGCTGTGCGGTTGCACAAAGATGAAGCAAGCTGCCAGCCACAAGGAGCTGTGACCCACAATGCGGAGATGAGCTCTGGGCCCACGTGTACACCGAAGCCCTGTGTCCGTGGGGCCGGGGCCTCATTCAGCTACAACCGCTTGAAGCTTTCCGGATTGAGGCTTCCAGTAAGGGCCTCAAGAGACAAAGAGAGAGTACCCACATCCCCTCCAGCAAGCAAGCAAGCAAGAGAGAGGGAGAGAGAGCGAGAGAGACGAAGACGAAGCATAAAGCAGGAGCAGGTAGCAGGTACTAGTGAGAAGTGAGAGGTAGATCGGACGAGAGTGAGAGGCGAGCGTCTTTCTCTCTCGCTCTCTTTGCCCAAGGTCGGTGTTTCAGCATGTTTCAGCGTCTCGATGTATGTTGCACTGAGATTCCCAACATGCGCGGAACGAGCAGCGACTGCCTGGGCAAGCGCACTGGCGAAGCGTGCACCATTAGCCCGGGCCTTACCGATAGATGCATCTTAAAGTCCTAGAGTAAACTAATATAGTCTCTTATAGTATAGATTAATATCATATAGTCTATCGTACTTTATAGACACAAGGCATGAGACCTTGTGGCATTCCTGGACTCACGGCAGAAAGAGTGGATTCGAGGCTTTACTTCTGTGGGCCCTGTTAGCATCCCGAACTCAACACCACGACCCCTAAAGAACTGCGATGCTCAGCGACGCTTGCAACACGAAGCCTGAAGCCGAATAGTTTTTGTACTCCTCACCCAACGAGAAGAGAAGTCCGAACCATGAATCCCAAGCCTCAAACTCTCCGTCCATCCGATCGCAACTTGTAGGCCGGAAACTCGGACGAGCTAGCAACTCTAATTATACACTTACCCAAACATCTGAGGCTCGAGAGGCCGCAAACCGCCGAAGCCCGAAGCCCAATCCACACCCTCGAAGCCCTCAATACCCGCGACCCTAAATCTCCTAAACTCTGCGCCCGATGCACTCCACGCCCTCAAACCCTTAACCCCTAAACCCTAAGAAACTGCCATAACTTACTTCATTTTTTGGTAGGTTCTTATTCCAAACCTTATAATATGGAATTTATGGGGACGCCGCAAAAGCGTAGGTTCTGGTAGGGTAAGGTAACCTTGTGGCCCTGGACCCCGAATGCAGCCACTTCCAGGTGCTGACCTGGGCTTCGATCTATTCGGCACTGCGTCTCTGCAGTGCCAGGCCTGTGTGCTGGGTTTGGGATTTACTACAGGGGCCTAAATCTTTACCAATACTCTTTTGGTGGTGCCTTACTGTTAGAACAGTATAATGGGCACCAAAAACCTACTCTAATTATTAAGGCCTCTATATTGGGGATTAGGGTAAAGGGTTTAGCTTGGGCTCAAGTCTCTCCCAAAGACCGTTCGTCTGATTTGGGCAGCCCTCTACAAATTTCATTCCAGGAACGATAGCAGGAGATCGGGACTCGAACATCAACGCCGATGAGAAGCATATTCGTCGTAACATTACGGGCTTCTGCGCAATGCCATGGCGTATGATAGCCACAACAGCTGAGGTTATCAGCCAGGAACCGGTCACCAGCTATTCAAACTAATTTTATACCCCAGCCCTAAATCCCAACCCCTAACGCCCGCAACCCTACACCATAAAGCCGAAACGAACCCTAAACCCCAAAATCACCTATAACCCGAAACGAACCAAAACCCAAACACCCTGAACCCGAAACGTTCCCTAAAGCCCGAAAGAACCTCAAAGCCCTGATCCAGTGGCTTTTGGGACCACATCAGAACTTGGCCAAACTCTTTTGGCCAAGGTTTTGTCAAGCACTGCCCTCTCCCCAAGCTATCCGTGCTTCTCTGCAACCCGAAACCCTTGAAGCCTGTATGGCTCGCCTGGATTGTGCGAGTGCCGAACCCCTACCAGAATTCCAGGCTGATGGCTCCTTCACCCAGGACTCGTGCAAGGGGTGAAATTCAGAAGATCCGGGGTTTACTTGGAGGGTCGGGGGACTTAGTAACTGGTTAGTTTAGGGACTTATAAGTACGATAACCCCAATTAGGGTCCCTTTTAGGGTACTTATAATAAGTCTATTTATTACCTACACTTACTAAGTCCCCCGACCCTCCAAGTAGGGTTTAGGGATTGATTCTTGCCGTGGTCTACGAATCAATCATTGATTCCATGGGGCTTTGACATAGGGCCTGCAATCAGCAAGGTCTATGGCCTCCCCCACAGCCGCTAGAGGCAGTCGTCGGTCATCGTGTTCGTCGTTGTCGTTCGCTTGCCTAATCAGGACCCATGTCAGCTGCGTAGCTACTGTGACTGGCTGATTAAGCTTAGGGTTGTGGGTCCAGGGTTTAGAGACCCTAATTAACCACCAATGCTGCAAAATGCTACTTGTGCTGCGCTGCTATCGGCTTTGACTCGTGGGCGATGCCGAAAACATAGCCACCGGATGCTTTTGTTTTTTGGGGAGCGGAGGCAGTATATGTGCATATATATATATATATGTAAGTGTGTATACTACTAAAGATGAGTCAGGAAGCAAGTAGCTGTACACTGTGTACAGGCATAAGCATGTACGTGAACATCAAGATACATGAATCGCGAAGTGCAGAAAGACTCCTACCCGTTACAGGCAGCACACACGCCCTCACACGCAGACACACAGACACGCGCACGCGCACACACACACACACACACGCATACATACATATCTATATATGCAAACACATAATTATACATGTATACAATTATATATTTATGTGTGTGTACATACGCATACATATCGCGACAATATCTTTAAGAGTTCTAGGGTTATTTGTGTTTTTGAACATGAAGTCACTCCTAGTCAAGTCAGGCCGCTTTGAGCGAGAACTCGCTAAAGCTACCCGTTGAGGACCTTCCGACTGTCTCGCCTGCCGTGTGCCCTACGCCCAACTACGAGTCAAGCGTGGGAAGCACATGTGCCTTGTCTGCAGCTGAAGTGCGAGGGAGGGCGAGTGACAGGATTTCAACAGAAGGGCCTTTCTGCAAGAGTGGCAAAAGCTAACCACGTTGCATCTGCATTTGGTGTGGAAGGATTGGTGCAACTATTGCCGGATCGAACGACCACCCAGTCTAGATTTGATCGAGATACTGTGGCATTGATGGAGGTACTGGGAGTGGAGGTACGTATTGACTGGCTAACTGAACCCGCTGGAACGCCTCTACTTTTTCTCGGCCCGATGTACTTTATAAAAAGGTAGTTCTGCAAATTAGGGTACAGTTTAGGTTCCTTTTTCATGCCGGTGCCGCAGTCTTTTTTGGGTTCCCCAATAGGGGCCCCAATTAAGACAACTACCATAATCGCGGGCCAAGGTCGTGAAGTCCACAAGTTTTGCCGATCCCGCCGCATTGTATATTACGGATACTCTTACGGTATAGTTTCCTCTATACTTATAGTATACTCATACCGAAATTATACCCTTGTAGTTCCTTCTAGACTTATAGAATAATTTACTGTCAACACCCTGCTCTTGTTGTTAAGGCCCCTATGGTGCAGGAACTCTGAGATCATTTGCTGAAGGTCACAGGTTGAGCCCAGCCAGGCGAGGACTCCTCGCTAGGAGTTTGAAGGCTAGCAACAGTGACGTTTTTTTGTGGGGTTTCGGTTTTAGGCTAGGGTTTAGTTTTTTTTTTTTTTTTGTGGGCTGTTTCGGGTTTAGGCTAGGGTTTACGGCAACAAGAGCAGCACCAAAAAGTGCATCCGGTTGTTTAGGTTGCAGCTTAGGTTTTCGGGTTATTGCTTCTTCGGGAGTGAGGTTTGCTATGCTGCACTTCGGGATACTTGTGTTGTGGGCTCTGGCAAAAGCCCAGGTGAGGCTGGTTAGGGGCTCGGGTAAGGATGCAAAGCGGGCCCTCAAACAAGCTTAAACTGCTACACTAGACTCTCCACGACCCGCGACTGTAGGAAAATGGAGGGTAGTTGAGCTTCCGTCCGAGGTGACAACAAGACGGTGGGTGCAGACTGCTGGGCCTATTGCCACTTGGTGCAGATCTGTGGTTGGGAGTCTGAGAAGCTGAGACTCTAAAGGCTTGAAGTTTCGGGCTGTGTGGCATTGGTTATATGGGGTTAGGGCTTACAGGGTGTCTGGTGTTTAGGCCTCATAGAGTCTGGTGCTTCAAGAGTTCAGTATCGAATCGAAGCCTGGAAAAATTGAAGCATTATTCCTCAGGGTTCCTTGTTATGGTGATTATGCAGTACTATAATATACCCCAAAAGCTTTTTCTGGTTGGTATTATGAAGGCTACATCCTCTCCAATCGGCTAGAATCAGGTCGGGCTCCTTATGTGGAAGTGGGCTGAGAATGAAGTACGCAGTATTAGTTAGTGCTGTACCTCATAGTTTGTGACCGATCTCATTTCGTGCAAGGCCGACTGTGGTACTATAGACATGTCATACCGTCAATTCAATAGATCAGCATTGGACACTGACTGCTGCTAGAGACACATCCTGTGCGGTTTCGGGTTTTGTCGCGAAATGAGGATGTACTTCTTCGCGCAGCAAGATTGATGTACGCTTGGGGAGACGAAAACAAGTCATAGACACAAGATTTCGAACGTATTTTCCACGCCGATGCATTGCATATGAACGCATGCACACATCTGCATGTGTATATCGTGTGGGAGTGCAGACACGAAGTATCATTGCCCTATGTCGCGCACTAGTCAACTTCAGACCTGGTCCTAGCCCACATTGCTAAGCCCTTCAAGGAACCCTATTCTAACTCACTAAACTTATGACGCAATTCCTGCCTAAGGCCCAGGATGTTCCAAAACCAGCAAAGAGCATAATACAAGCATATCAGAAAAGCATCTAAACCGAATTCTAGCTACTAAGGCCCTTATGCAAAGAATTAACACTGCTACATGTGTATAGGTCGTTCTTGTCTCGTTCTCCAAAACGACAAACCTTAAACTCACGACAAGCAATGTAGAGGTGTGACGAGCTGAGGATCTTGAGAGGGGAGGGAACTACAATTCACATCCACACTCTTTTAGTTGTTACCAGACGCTCCCAGATAGTGCAGTCTCACACCACAGACCTCGAACCATATGTGGATTGTCCGAGTGTGAGCGCCGAAACTCACCACCCCCAAGAGGCCCTAGGCCCTAAAGCTGTAAACCCTGGATAGAAAGAATCTGTGCATCCAAAGAAAACCCTACAGTGACCTCACAGCAACCCTTATAGTACCCCCAGTGTACCCGCACAACCTTAAAAGGATCCTCACGGAAACCGTAGAGGAACCCTTCTCGTACTCGCACAGGCACGCTTATGGCATTCTTTTGGGAACCCTATGGAACCCTTGTAGTCCCCATGTGGGAATCCGATCCCCAAATGTAACGAGGCAACCCTGGCTTCGAGGGTGGCCTTGCTGCATGCAACTTCTGTGTGACGATCCCCCGATCGGGGTTTCGGATTTAGGGGGTAGGGTTTAGGGTTTGGGGAGTAGTCGAGGGTGCTTCTTGTTAAACTCTACCCGAAATCTGAACCCTAATGCCGTAAACCCTTCAAGTGGACTGCCCGAGTGTGCACGACGAAGCCTCTTACATTGGCTGGTGCATCACTGGCTTGGCAAAGGGATGATGGTTCACAGGTGCTTCATCGCAGGCAATGTCCTGCCACGAGAGGCGGTTCAAGGATCTGTTTTTCCTGGCCAGGAGGCGGCTACGTGTTAAAGCTGACTACTCTGGCATACGACCATGGAAATGAGGAATGCCAGAGCGTGTCCGTCCGTGAGTTGTGTGTGCCGATCCTTCACTTCACTCCGGCTCGATGGTGATCCTGAGGATCGGGCAGAGGCACCACAGCTAGACACGTGGTTCATTGTCTGGTGTACCTCGGGTCCAGAGGACTCTCGCTCACGGTACAGCAACCTCGGACTGGGCAGCTGTGCACTTTTAAAACTTTTCTCAGATACGGTATGTGCGCGGAGCGTTTTTGCTGCTTGTAGTGTAAACTTCGTCGGTGCCACGACGCTGGTCTAAGAGCATAACTGCACTTGTTAGGCTTGATTTGTTCCTAGAGTGTGCGGTATAGGATCGACTATGGCTTTACGGCGTCCTGGTTCATTTGTCGAGCCGTAGCACCCTTCAAGGGGCAGCGACGGTTGGAATGGAGGATGTTGGGCTGGACATTTTGCACCCTGAACCTTAAACCCCAAAGCCCTGAAGCCGCAGCTTGATGCCTAAGGCCCTATATGGTCCTATATAATCCTTAAATTAAACCCCCAACCCCAAGCCAAGTTTGGTCCGGGATGTTGAAATTGCAGAGTCCGATAGCCGCGAACTAGCAGAGTAAGCCCGAATGTGCCGCGAGTCCTAGTGCTACATATTTGTCGAATGGTGTGCAGCACAACATCTCTAGGTCGACCCCAGATATTACATTAAGGGGAACCACTTGAAGGCCCAGCTCCTGCTTCAAACCTTGGTTCTATACCCCTCACGTGATACGTAAGGCCCGGAATATAAGCAGACAAACACTAGTTATAATTAAGGATGTGTGAACCCAGTCTTAATATTCCATGCATGAAGCTCCGGTAGAACCCTACAATACCCCATCAACCGTCCGCGGAACCTACGCAAAAGCACAACAAACAGGTTCGGCTCAACATGTTGAGTATAACCTACAGTAGATCTTGGTCAGGAGCTCGGCATTATTCGGCTTATGGTTTAGGTCTCAAGGGTTTAGCGTTTTCAGGTTTTTCGGGGTCGGGACTAGACAAATAGGCCCTGCTGCAGAGTAGAGTGTCATGAGGTTAACATCAGTTTTGTGACAGGTGTGCTTAGGGCTTACACCCATGACTTAGAAGGGGCCCCCACCCTGTAATAGTGACTATAACGATTATATCACGGTCCTGTTATATTCCTATTATACCACTATTACAGGGTGGGGGCCGCTTCTAACCCATGACTGAGGTCGGCCGAAGCCCTACCAATGCCGGGTGAATGAGACGGCCGCTGCCGTCCAGATCGAACAGGCCCGATGAGGTGTTGGCTGGTATGCTCCTTTTTAAAGGGTCTTTGTATAGGGGCTACCATAAGGGATCTACAAGGGTACTATAATATAGAGGCTTTAATAGTTAGAATAGGGTTTGGGGTATACTATATTATAACTATATTAAGGAACCTCCCAAATAATGTAGGTAATTATTGAGGCCCCTATGTTACGCAAACCCCCGAAGTGCCAAGTCTATCAAGCAGTCACAGCTAACTGCTCCACGCTGTTTGTTTTTTTGGCTCAGTGCCGGAAAATCTTCCACGACCATCCGTACTCTAGGAGTCGGAAAGTATTCTTTATTGATATCCCCTTGCACATGTAGGCACTACCACAATACTATAAATACAGCGCCAGAGCCCCAGTTTGTTCATTAAGGCCCCGAGACCATCCCAAGCCATCGCTCTTCCGTACAGATGGCGGACACCATCAACTGTACCAACATCAGCAGCTTGGCAAGAGCAGTTTCGGAGCTTAAGTTCACAAGGCTTGTGGGTTGAGGGTGGCATTAGTAATGATGATGAGGAGGAGGATGATGGTGGTGATTGATCAGTTATTTTGATGGTGGTCACCATCCTGGTCATGATGATGATCATCATGGGTTCGCTGGCATCGTTGATCAAGCTTCGATGTGGTACTTGTACCTGGATGGCCTTCCACGGTATGGCGAAACTACAATCGTCCTTGAGATGCTGTCTGGAGTTTAGAGTAAGTTCCTTTAGTTTCCAGGCAGCTGGACCACATCATCCCTCATATTGTTACTATTGCTATAGCTATATAGCCGTATAGCTACATACCTATTGCTATTGCTGATGTGATGACTATTTCTTTTGTTGCTCTGATGGATCATCGGCTTCGTTTCGAGCCCCTGCGTGTAATATAGGCATGCTAGTGGAAGAAGTAGTAGTAGCAGTAGCAGTAGCAGTAGCAGTAGTAGTAGTAGTAGTAGTAGTAGTAGTAGTAGTAGTAGTAGTAGTAGTAGTAGTAGTAGTAGTAGTAGTAGTAGTAGTAGTAGTAGTAGCTAGGTAGTAGTAGTAGTAGCAGTAGTAGTAGTAGTAGTAGTTGTAGTAGTTGTAGTAGTAGTAGCTAGGTAGTAGTAGTAGTAGTAGTAGTAGTAGTAGTAGTAGTAGTAGTAGTAGTAGTCGTAGTAGTCGTAGTAGTAGTAGTAGTAGTGGTAGTAGTAGTAGTAGTCGTAGTAGTAGTAGTAGTAGTAGCAGTAGTAGTAGTAGTAGTAGTAGTAGTAGTAGTAGTAGTAGTAGTGGTATATAGTAGTAGTAGTAGTAGTAGTAGTAGTAGTAGTAGTAGTAGTAGTAGTAGTAGTAGTAGTAGTAGTAGTAGTAGTAGTATCGCCCTCATTGACCTGAATATATCATAATTGTAGATTCCCGTATACACCCGAACATAATTGTAGTGTAGTCGCATAATATGCCTCCCAAAGCCCCGTTCTAGTTTTACATTACTCCCAAAATCCCGAGATTTCGAGTATAGGCACAGAGACCAACGACACCAATGACACGAACGTCACGGGCGGCCGTCGACTTCAAACCCTGGACCCTTGCGATTTTGTATCCGTTGCACCTGAGCCGGCACTTCCGGAGTTTAGACGTGTCGCACATTAGGGGTTGCTGGCGCTGTACGTTTGAATCAGGGTTTTGCAGTCTTCGTGGCTTTACAAGTGTTTCCCGCTCTCTCAGTCTGACGTGCATGCATGGAGCGCCGTTATTGTCCGTGAGAGTTCACGAAGAGCTTGCCATGTTTGGACGCTCCCATAGTTGCTTGCTAGGCCACCTTGTTCATGGAGGGTTAGGGGCTTTTCGTTCCTGCTGCTGTCTACACTAGTTATACATAGCGATTGAGAAAATTTGTCTGCTCTCATTCTTTACGAGAACAACTTTAGAAGCAAATAGAGCCATGGAAGCAGTACTTCTTAAATAGACAACCCAGGAACACCGAGGTTTTCTGCATTGCCTTGGCAGGGTTATCAACATGATCCTGCTAGCTGTCAACATCTTGCAGACAGATACGGACCGACAACGCAAAGACAGTATTCCATCAGGCATCTCGGCTGACAGCCAACCCGGCTGGACCGTTCGCGTTTTCGAAAACACTTCCGACCGAGTTTTGTGACTGATTCTTACCATGACTCTTATCAGCGACCGAACTCAGACCCCTTCCCCTGCTTGCACTTCTGAATTTTTAAAGTTTTGCGTGCCGGATACGGCCTTGGCGAACCCAGAACCCAAAACCCCTAAACCCCAAGCCCCTAAAGCTCTAAACCCTCAGCCCCTAAACCCCCAACTCTAAACCCTTGAGGCACAGGCCGGCTTGAATGGAATTGCGTACTCCCACGACTGCACCGCAAAGGTGCGCTTTTCTGCCCACTGGGCTGGCCTTAGGGTTATTGTTTAGGGTTTAGGGTTTAGATTTAGGGTTTAGCCCCCTCTGAGCTTGGTTCATATGGTTTAGGAGCTGGAGTTTAGCATTCCACGCCCAGAAATAAACAGAATCAGGCTTCGTGTGCAGTGTAGGCGGCAGGCGGTTTAGTGCTTTGGGGTTGAGGCTTTGGATTTACGGGCTGTGCCGGAATACAGCCACAGTCTGACAGTGGAGAACCTGCCATATCAATAACAGAGCCGGAGTGCAGTTACTCATGTTTTTGTGATCTTTGAACCAACGAAAAACCAACAGAGTAATTGCTTCGCGTACATGCGAGCAAGTGAGGGTTCTGTGCTGGTGTCATAGTTCTCTTTCACTAGCGGTGAAGGAAAATGCCTGCGTAGATAGCATCTGCGGAGGCAGCAGATCGTTACTACACTATCAAGGACACGCTCAGTGTCAAGCACCTTGACAACACGAACATGTCTGTATCTGTTAACAGTAGGCAATGATGGGAGCTCGGAAAAAACAGGGCCGTCGGGTGCACCGCTGCTGCAGTTGTTTTTGCTGCAACTTGTTTTAGCTGTCATGCTGCTACACTGCCTTCCTGTGTGCATTGAGCTTTCTGCAAATATGGTCTGGGACAGACTATCATGCTTGTACTCCATGAACCCCACAGTTTTCCTTCGTGGCCTCCACTGGTGGCTGTGTGCCTTCACTGTGCAGAGCTCTGACATCTGGATGTGTCTAGATCGTGCGTTTTTCTCGAAACCTTATGCTTGCAATTTCAGGGATTACAAAACCTGTTCCCGAAAGGAACCATGACGAAAAAGAAGTGTGCACTTTTTCTCTCCGGCTACTACTTCAGACAAAGCCCAGTTGCGGTAGCTTGTTCTGTTGTCCCAGTCGGCGCAAGGGATCCTGTACAGCTTGTACCGCATCACCTTGCCAAGCTAGCCCTGCAGGCCCACGACGAGGTGTGCATCGCACACTGCGCAGAGGGATGGAACATGACAGAGCCCGAGCCCTCCATCTTCGTTTGCAAGAGTGGTCCCTGGCCTTTGAGGTTCGTATACTATATAGCATATTCAATATCTATATATACATATATATATATATATATATATTTATACATATATATATATATATATATATATATATATATATATTTATTTATACATATATATATATATATATATATATGTATAAGGGCAGCTCTCTGTTGGGTTACTGTACAAGCTCGATACCGGAGTAGCTGTGGCAGGTCTTGAGCAGGACTTTGCATACCCCAGCTGAGAAGAACTGGACTCTGAGTGCAAGTCTTTGTGATAGGCTGGGCCTGAGCGGTTTAGGGCTTAGGGTGTTCAGGGTTTAGGGGTTTAGGGTTGTGCTGACGTCCGGCCCAGCCCGTGACTCAAAAAAGGGTTGTGCTGACATTTGATGCTTGGCTGAAGGGATTCAGGGCTTGGTGCATTGCAGTCCCTGCTCAAAAAAAGGGTTTAGGACAATGTAAGACGTAAAGAATGCAACGAAGAGGCCCGAACCCAGAGGCCCACCAGGGGGGCCCACACGGGCCCAAAATGGCCCAACAACCTTAGGATACCCTAACTACAGTATATACCCTTAACATAGCTATTATATACCCATGATATAGCCCACTATAGGGTAGGGGTCCCCATTAAGCGTCCCTCCTCTTCCCCTTTGATACAGTTGAGGCTTCTTAGTCGGCGCGATGCTGCCAACGTGCATTCCGCTGCCGTCACTGGGCAGCTGCAGTCCAGCGGGCGTTCGATTTAGGATTGGGGTTTAGGGTAGGCTTCAGTGGGGGGGTGGGGGGAATGGGACCGAACAGCAGCCTAGACGAGCAACATTTCAGGCATGCTGTGTGAAGCCCAAACTCCCATTAGCGCCTTTGTCCTCGAAACTGCTCAGCCACAATGCATTCAAAATGCTCGTAGAACTGTGATATTGTTATGCTGTTCTGGCTCTTGTTATTCAGGCGCCGCTAATTATGGCCTAAACTCTGCCTCAGAGTAACCAAAAAGCCTACTTTTTTGCAGGGTCCCTATAAATTTTATCACAGTCAGAGCCAGAGAGAGACGGAGAACCCTAAACCCTAACCCTGTTCCGGCTTCGAGGTGCAGCTACGCCTTTCCCGATGCTCTCGGAGTGCGGCATGATTGCCCTGCTCTGAGTCTGATCTTAGGGCCCTTTAAAAAGCACAGAAGCATAAGCATTTTATGGGGATATCCCCATGTTTTGCTTATGCAATGTGCTTCTTTCGTGCCATATGATCGTTCCATTTCGTGGGTCGAGTATAAATTTAATTTGGTGCCACTAAGGAACCGGGGTTTAGGTTTCAAGAGAGAGAGAGAGAGAGAGAGAGAGAGGGTTTGCAAAAAGGGTAGTAGTTATGAAGACATACAATACTGGCGGGGAAGAGCCGATGGTTTCGGTTTTGATGAGAGCCTAAAGCCAGTTTCTGTACTTGCAGTGCGCTGGGCATCTACATGCCGAGGCTAAGACATGCGGGTGCTGTGGAATATTCAGATACATCTGAAGACGTGAGCCTCGTGAGGGCCTCGTGTTTTAGAGTGGGGCAGACTTTTTAAGCAGACTTACCCGCACCTACAATAGTTCTCCCAAATACTCTTAAACACCTGCTAAGACTATTTGAAGCCCCTTTCCTTTTTGAAAGCTGCGTGTTCGATGTATTTTGCTTCTTTTACGGTTCCACTAGCTAGTCATGAGAAAACTCGAGAGCCTGGGTCATGGGCCGCAGGGCTCCAACACCTACAGTCCTCCAGGTTTTCTTGAAAATGAAGGCTAAAATCCTGAAAGAACAGGGAGGGTTCGAGCTGTCTAAACGGCCACCCCAAACCTTCAAGAAGAACCCAGACCCTAAACCCCAAATCTGGGTCCGAAGTCCAAGCAAGCCCCAAGCCCGGTATTGACCCTAAATCCTTAAACCTGGAGCCTATTCTTATCCCTACACCCGAAAACCCTAAAGCCTAAACCCTAAAACCTAAACCATAAACCCTACAAGCCCTAAACCCTAAGCCCTAAAACCTAAACCATAAACCCTACAAGCCCTAAACCCTAAGCCCTAAAACCCTGAACCACTCTAAGAGCCCGACGAAGCCTTCACCGAAGGCCTGGGAGTTCGCTCCGCGGAAACTTGCCAGGCGACCTGCACCGAGGCAAGGTAACGGTTGGTGATGTAAATCCTAGGGTTCCCTCAAAGGGGTCTAGAAGGGTACCTTTAAGGGGGGCTCCTTTAAGAGATCTATAAGGTCTTAGGGTTTAGGGTTTAGGCTGATGATATAAGTCCTGCATTACCCATAATAAGGAATATGCCATAATTCCCATAGTTTAGGGTCCTTAAGGTAATGCAGGATTTATATCATCAACAGTAATTGCTAAGCATTACCCATACAAGGTTGGGGGTTCCCTCTGATAATTATGGTAGAAGGTTTAATCCTTGTTTAAGTATGAAGACCCCCCCTTTGTTTGTCGGTTCATAGTCGGTTTTAGGGAGCTTTGTGGTTTGGGGGAAGCCCGTGAGGTTTTAAAACCTTGAGCCTTCCCAACCCGAGGGTTTTGTGCCAGAAAAGCCCGAGAGCCCAAGCCCTTTCCGAGGCTGCCAGGAGTAATTAACTACAGTTGTAGTACAGTAGTACAGTAACAGTACATATTAACCACCCCCCCACGATGTTTGATTACTTATAACCGCAATTACAGTACTTATAACCTTACTGACTAAGTCCGATGAACTTCCAAGCAGGCGGGGTATACATACGCTGCCGGCTCTGCTGCAGAAACATGGACCTGCTCCTTGGACTTTGGACGGTGGTCGGTTGTAGGTTTCACGGTTTTGGGGCGCTGGGGTTTGGTAAAAAGGGTGGATTGTAGTAGTTTTAGGGTTTGGGGTTGAGGGTGGATTGTAGCAGGTTTTAGGGTTTCAGGTTTAGGGTGGATTGTAACAGGCTTCAGGGTTGCACGTTGAACGGTAGAAGGTTTGTTTTGGGGGTTTGGAGTGCGGAGTGGTACGGCTGATGGACAAAATCCTGCATGACCCCAAGGACTCTAAACTATGGGAATTATGGTATCTTCCTTAGAGTGGGTAATGCAGGATTTTGTCCATGAGCCGTAGTGAGGAGTTTTTTGGGCTATCGCCTTATCCTAGGAAGTCTTTCCTCATGAAACAGATTACTTGGGTACGGCCCCCGCTCAGTAATAGTCGAATAATATTCATAGATATATAGGTATATTAGGACCTGAATAGTAGCTCTATTATAGACTCTTACTGTATGGGGGGCAGTACCAAACAGATTAGCCAAAGGATCAGTTCGAAAAGACAGAGGATGGTCAGTCACGATTTTGTGGTTGAGGGCTGTAGAGGTGTGGTGTCGTAATCTTTTGTTTCGGCTCTTCGAGAAGTGCAGAAAAGGGTCCGAGCGTTTTAGGCTTTTTAGGGTGCTACAATCGCAGGATTAGAGGGAGCAGGAGGGGTTCCGTGGATCAGAGTTGAGGGGGAGGATGCTTACCTAGACCCTCAAATGTAGGTTGCTGGTTAAGAAAATTGTGGCTACCTTAGATTCTTGTTATAGGGTCCTGGCCCAACAGCACTTCTTCCGAAATTCAAGAAAGGTGCTTGGTATAGTAGGATTTGCCTCATGTTGTTGGGCGGAGATTTAGCGTGCGCTAGAACCCTATACCTTGGGTACGGCCCCCACTCAGTAATAGTTGAGTAATCTTAATTATATAGATATTATGATATAGTAAAACGTTAAGAGTAGCCCTATTATAGACTATTACTGTATGGGGGCAGTACCTAACCTCTACCCTAAACCCCGAAACCCTGGCGACTGGCCAGGCCCCTTCTTGCGATCCATATAAGAGTGCTGTTTTAAAGGGGTCTGAGGGACCTGCGAAGGTTTCTGTATGGCCCTAAAGGGTGCTTTTAAAAGGACCCTCCACATTGTTTCCAAACCTGCCAAGCCTACTTCGATGCAACTTGAGAGCCATGCAGACGATGTTAAAGCAGCGACTTTATGTACACTAGTAATACCTGGTTACCTAGTAATAGTGAGAAGACTAAGAATATACTGCGTAGTAGTCGTAGTAGTCGTCGTCGTATAGTAGTAGTTCGGGAGTAGTAGTGTTGTAGTACCATTGTTATAATGATACTAATGATGATCATGATAGTCGTAACAACGCACTAACCCGTAAGCCTCCAAAGACTAAAGCCACAAGGCTTGCCGACGGGAAGTCTCGATGGGCAGCTTCCGACTTGCCTCCCGGCGCTGACATGGCTTGGGGAGGAGGGGTTTACAGCATTCTTGGGACCAGCAACAAGCAAGGAAGGCAAAGGCCAAAACCATCTGCATCATCCTGACTGTCATCATCGTCTCATGATCATCTTCGTCTTCAGAATGATGCTGCTGTTGATGATGACGATGGTGGTAATGATAACGGTGAGCCGTGCCATAATGATATGGACAACACTACAAATGGTTAACTAGTAGACGTAGTAGTTGCACTCGCTGCATCCAGCAGCTTGTAGCACCCATGCGGTGATCATTGACTCTGGTGACTCTGCGCAGTAACACAGTCGTGCTTGCATTGAGTCGCTAGTGGTGATGACCTTGGGTTATGGATGGTACTTTTGCCGATGCTAAAAAGCGGAGACGGACGTTGATGACCATGTTGATGATAGAGATCAGGAGATTGGAATGCTGATGGCGATGTGTTGACGGCATTATTTTGACAGCGCCAGCTGTAATGATGCTGCTCCTGATGACAGTCAAGACTGCATGTATCTTTTAATGCATGCACCCGGATATACATAAATAAAGCTGAAAGTAGCCATGGAGAGTCGATGGTTGAGGTGGTGACGGAAGGTGTTCACAGTGAGGCTAAAGTCCAAACTCTCTACTGTAAGCCTTCAACCTATGGTAGTTTGCCTTAACCTGTCAAACCTCGTCTGACTTGTCGAGCACGAGTGACAAAAAAAGCCTTCAACCTCAACCCCCTCTCCTCTCCACCCAAGACGCAAAATTTCCTCAGGGCTTGCTAGTGACTCTACTAGTAACCTCAATGGTAGCACAAATCCACGATGTAGACACACAGGCCCAAAGCTCTAAGCGCCTGAATCTTGTCAGCATCTCCCCCTTAAGCCCAAAGCGAGCAAGCCCTCGGTGTGTATGTATATATATATATGTATGTATACACATATACATATACATATACATATGTATATATATATATATGGTCACCCCCCCCCATGACAGACCATCCCCTTCAAAACATCGCTCCCACCGGCGTGTTCGTGCTTTTTCCGGGGTATCGAGTTTGAGCCCTCCGAACGTATCCCTGGAACCACCAAAAGACTGAGACCAGAAAGCAGCACGATAAGGCGCGCGGGTGTCCTACCAAGAAAGGAATTACAGAGCACACGTGTATGGATGAGGGTTGTGCTGATACACTACATAGTAAGCACTACACAGTAATCTTACTTGAGTCATATATAGAGCAGATTCCAGCATTTCCAAAATTTCCAAAATTCTCTCCCCTAACTTTCCGGATTTCCAAAATTTCCAAAATTTCCAAAAAGTCCGCCCTTATGTTTTGGAAAAATCCTGTCGACTAGGTCGGGAAATTTTGGAAATTTTTGGAATTTGGAAATTTTGGAAATTTTGGAAATCCGGAAAGTTAGGGGAGAGAATTTTGGAAATTTTGGATATTTTGGAAATGCTGGAATCTGCTCTATATATGACTCAAGTAAGATTACTGTGTAGTGCTTTTAACACTAACGTTGACATTTATATTAATGCTTTTATTACGAATATGCACATTACTAATACTATTATTAACATTAACACTCCTACGCCTACCAATAGTCATATTCATATTGATATTAATGCCAATACTAACAGACACCTGCGTATACTAATGTCCGCAGATATACATACCACTATCTGAAAAGCAAATATATCAATGCATTCGTGTACTAACGTAGTATATTCGTATTTAATTTGTCATATACCCAGATTCCAACGTGACAATATACTACTTGTTAAAGTCTGATTATACTGTATTGATATGCTAACTTGCTGAGACACGAATACTGTAATATGCAAGTACACTGACACATGGCAATGGTATACTAACATATGGATATACCATAAAAGTTGTTAGATAATATACGAATATGATAAATGAAGTAGCATACCAGGATACTCATACACTAATATGTTAATAATCGAAGATAATAGCACACCAATATACTAATGTACTCATGCACGAACGTACGCATGCATTAATATACTAAGAGCATACAAACATACAGGTATACAAACATATTACTGTTCGAATACATTATAATGTGTTGGTATACTAAGCTGTTTATATAATCTATCAGTAGACTAATATATCAAAACTAACCATAGTATTGATACGCATACTAGCACGTCCGCGAATATTACACTGATGTTAAGTTCATCATTAAGACTGATAAAGACTGACATCGACATTGGCACTGGCATTAACACTAATTATCACTAAATATGCTAGTGTACTAATATACGAATACTGTAAAAGGCAAGTACACTGACATGTTCACATGCCATTATGCCAACATATTGATATACCTATAAGCTATTAGGGAAAATACGAATATAGTAAATGTAGTAATAGACCACTATAATAATATACTAATATACTACTACGTTAACATACGAATATCATGATACACCAATATACTAATGTACTCATGCACCAACGTACTAATATATTCGCGCAATCTTCAACTATGCAAATATACTATTGTTCGAATACATTACTGTATTATATTAAGCTCAAAATGTACGAACCAATCAGTATATTCACATATCAAAACTATTTCTAATACTGATACTAATACCAGCACTTCTGTGAATAATAAACAGATACTAAAACCAGCATTCAGACTGATACTAATACTAACACGAGTACTATTACTGACATTGACATCGACACTGGCACTAACACCAGCACGAACATAATCACGAGTTCATATTTACTATTATTGATATGTATACTTTTATTCAATACTAATACTAATACTGATGCTAATACTAATACTAAATACCAATACCAATACTAGTACTAAAGCAATACCCATCCTAATATCAATACTACCACAAAACTATTACTCATATGAACACTGATACCAGGATTAGGACTACTACGAACAATGACAGCAGTACTAAGAATAGAACCAAGAACAATACATATTAATCCTAACACTAATACTAGTACTAATACTAGCTACTAATTCTAATACTCATACTCATACCAATACTAATGTCACCACTACTGCTGCTACTACTACTGCTACTACTACGACTACTACTACTACTACTACTGCTACTACTACTACTATTAGTACACATACTTAATACTAAAACTAATACTGATACTCATACTAGTCACTAATACTAATACTAATACTCATACTCATACTAATACTAATACCAATACTAATGCTACCGCTACTACTACTACTGTGCGACAACTATTGCTAGTACGACGACTACTACTATTAACATCAGTACACATACTTAATGCTAATACTAAGAATAATACTAATTCGAATACTATTACTAATACTAAACATCCTAATATCAATACTACCACAAAACTAATACTAATGCTAACACTGATACAAGAATTAAGATCTACAAACAGTAATAGTGGTACGAAGAGCAAAATTGAGATTAAGATTGGGACTAGGAGCGCTGCATGCATGTGAAGAAATTTCCAAAAATTTCAAACCATCTAAAAGAACATTTTGGAATTGAGTTTGGGGGAAGTGTCTGTCGCCTATCCGTTGACAGATCCTGCCTGGGGACGCACGCCACCCTTCCCCTTCCCCACGACGGTCTGTCATGGGGGGGGTGAGCATATATATATATATATATATATGTATGTGTGTATATATATATATGCCCCCAAACACCATCAAACAACCCTCATGTCTATGCCTCTGCATCATCCAGCCTGAGCCCAGATCCTGAAGGACTAACCCTAAGCCCAACTTCATAAAATCCGAAGAACTCACGGCTCTAAACATCCTAAGGTAAAAGCCAGAAAGTTGGAATATGATTATCCTAACCCTTCCATGGTAAATTATAGGGTATCCTACCATGAAACCATATTCCAACTTTCTGGAGTTCCCTGTAAACCCTTGAGCCCTGAAGCACGACACCCAAGACCCAACACCATGTCGAGTGCTGTTCCTCCGGACTCCTCTGATATAGAAGTGTAGATTATTCAGGCCCTCATACTTCGCCTGTATAACCATGCAACCCTAATCTCAACGCCCCGAAACCCTAATCCTAAACTCGAAAATCTAGACTCATAAGCCTGCCGCTGATCAACCAAGTACTCTGCAATGCGGGCCTCGTCCTTGCCAAGTAGGACGGCAACAAAATTAGATTCTAAAGCTCAATTCTGAACAGAAGCCCGCAGCAAGGCGAGCGAATCGCCTGCACAGACCTGGCCGTCAGCACGAAGTTTACTCACAACTGTCAAGGCTAGGGTGTAGGGTTTTGAGGATTTGGGCTTAGGGTTTGGGGTTTAAGGATTTGGGTGTAGTGTTTGGGGTGTAAGGATGTGGGTTTTGGCATTAGGGCCTAGATATCAGGGACTTGTGTTCAGGGTTTTGGGTTCCTCTCTTCTCAGATGACGTTTAGAGAAAACAAGTGTTTAGGTTTAGAGGGGCGCTATTGCGACAGTTCGAATGGATGTCAACCGCGGCTTGAGGGTCAGGTTTCAAGGTGCTTCTACCGTAAGGTGCAGGGTATGGTAGAATGCCGTGAGAAAGGGGCTGTGCAGGAACGACCGCTTGTCCGGACTTCTTGCCTTGTTTTCTGCGTGAAGCAGCAGGATTCGCAATCTAAGTGTTTGTCAGGGTGCCAACCTGAGCATTAACTCCCGAGCCTAGCCGGGCCTAGCCCAAACCAGAGCCCCAGGCCCCACGCCTCAGAAAACCCATCGATCCCCGACGGTTTTAGGACGTAATCATGAAGGGGCAAGGGAGCTTACCTGTGCCTGCTCGATTTGCTTGCAGGACAGCGCTTCGAGGATACCTGCACGGTGAGCTGTGGACTAGGCAAGGTTTGTTTCTTCGGAACGTGCTGGGGTTAAGTGTGCTATGAGGGTTACTATACGGTTTCTATAGCGGTTGTTATGCAGGGTTACTAGTTTTGATCTACAGCTTCCCTGGTTGCAGGTCCTAGCCAGAACGAACCACTAGATACTTCAGATTGGCCACAGGATTTTGGAGGGGAGTGCTAATTTCTAATGGGGCCTCGGTAAGACGGACGGGCCTTCCGGCTTCAAGAAGCATGATTTCCAAAGGCACCTGCCCCCAAACCCTAAACCAGAGGTATCGGAAACAGGAATCTCCAATCCCCGAGGTTCTCTCACCTGTCATGCATTCAGCATGTCAGATCACAAAAGGTGGGTAGGCACCATTTCAGGCAGCTGCGTGTGTCGGCAGGACATGAGAGTGTGTTGACATGACCGGGTGGGCCCATCAAGTCTTTCGTGTGGGCAAAACTCTTGTTGATTCTGCTCCTGCAGAACTACGATCTGCATGTCTTACAAGCGGACTCCAAGGTCCTACTCTGAGGACGGCACATGCCAAAGACTTCGAATCATCTTGAACCCAAGGCCCTAAACCACAAAATCTCCACACCCCCAAGACCCCCCCGAAATCTAAACCTCGGACCTTTGGCTCGAAACCCCCTCATTCCTAAACTGACAGGTTACACGCTGGATGGAACAAGTGGGCAGTTCCAGTGCCAGGCCTTTCTGTGTTTGGCGATGACCCCTATAGTGTTTAGGGATTTGAGACGCAGGTTTTACTTCTCGGATTATGTTTTCTTTCTGGGTTTAGTCTTTTGGTGGTTGACAGGGCAACATGTACAACTGTAGTAAGTGGTGTTTCGTGGTTACCTTATTTAGGGTCCTAGCCATAACACAGGCTACCCAAAAAGGTACATTCTAGGGCCTAGCGTCTAGGCAGCACGCAGACGACACTCATACTTGCAATGCTCCGTCTGTTTTTTTGCGGCACAAGGGGTGCAGAAGAGTTCTATAAGGTTTAGGGTCTATGGCTCAGTGCCTAGGCCCCCTTTCAAGCCCTAAGCACTTGTATAGCTCCAGTTGTTTGTGTTCCTCGTGTGGGGGCAGGGGTTACGGTTTCAGGCTTTTGTGGCATTCGTGCTTTAGGTTTTATTCTGATTCTGTTTGGTTTAGGTGGCATGTCGGCATGGAGCAGCTTACAGGTTCGCAGGAAGGGCTTAGGGTCTCGGGTTGACTGATTTGGGTCTTTGGTTTCAGGGTGAAGGGGCTTACCTTTTCTTTTTCAACGGGGCTTTGGGTTTAGGATTCTTATGCGACTGAGAAACAATGCAGGATTCGAGGCTCCATGTAGCTATCGGTATTATGGCTAAGATCCTTTTGATGATCAGGACTTCTAGAGAAGCTGCCACTAGTTTCCCTTATCCCACAACCCGAAAAGTCTAAACCCCGTATTGCCTGGTACCACGTATCGGCGCAGAACGTAGCTAAAAACCCGAAACCGTCTCAGACCCAGTGAAAGGCATGCATTTTTCAGTGCCCGCGCGTGAGCGCACCCTTAGGGCACACCAGAGGACCAGCGGCCTAGCCTTCGTCATTTCTTTTTGGGGAATCCGAAAACCATAAACTTTACAGCCGTAAACCGTGAAGAAACAACCTTATGAGGCCTAACCGCTTGAAAGGATGGGGCTTTGCGGGCCACTCCGGGGGCTTGGGCTGGGGATCGCCACAACTAGCTTCAACGTCTCCTGGCTTCTTTGAGATGCGAGCCTCCCAACACCGAAGCCACAAAGACAGAGCATTATTATTATTATGTGCTCATGTATATTGACGCACCATAATACACGATAGTAGGTAGTTAGGATTTAAAGTTTAGGGTGTCGGGCAGGGTTTTTCGGGCACTGTAGGGCTTCACAGGACTTTATGAAGCCGTATGCAATCCCACCAGATCACCAACCCCAATGCCTGACGAACTTCTGGCATCAGTTCTGGAATCACGGGTTCCGACTCAATATAGCAGTTCGCATAACTTGTCATAATCTTCCCTTTTCCTCCCCGTTTATTCAACCATAGCATAACCCATGAAACTGCTCGTTATAACCACTGGAAAGGGATTGAGACAATTTACAGCCTGACACCTGGGACCTAGACCTTAAACAGGCCGACGGCAACATCACTGGCACACTTCCAACTTGTGTGGGCAATCCGTGCCTTGGCAGTGGACCTGTTCGATTAAGATGTGTTGGTCTTTATGGGAAGCCTCAGATCCACCAACAGGGTCGAGACAACGTGTGCCAGTGACACTGGACAGCTGCCTACGCTAGGAGCGCAGACGCCGAATTGTACGTGTGCAGCCTGACCTTTCCTGCCCTGAAGCCCTCTCTCTTCGCACGTACATTCTATACATCAAGGAAACGAATGTTTACGCAACTCTATGGCCCTGAACTTTAGGCCCCACTGGAGTCACTCGCCACAGTTACAAGTCCTGTATACTATAGATGCTATCAAGGGTTTATCATAGAAACCCTTCACTGTATTAGGACTCCTCATGCGAGAACGTATGCGGCGACAGTCGAAGAGTGAACTCCGAGGTGCTCCAACACTCTTCCGACGGATCCTGCCTTCGACACCTCGGGTGCCACCTTCGCAGTGGGCTAATTAAGGGGTTTCACGACATTCAGTGTGTGCATGTTGCATGTTTTGAGACGATATGTTTTGGGCAGCTGTTTGTACGGGTCATGTATATAGGGCCCGATTGGAGCACTTCTGAGTGCTTCGTAGACTAAAGTATCGAAGCTGCACTGGTGTGAGTTTCATGCTGGACCGTTTGTTTGAATTCGGAAACTTTTGAATCTTGCACGACAGACCATTCGGCACAGCAGATCTCCGGAAGGCCAACTTATGCCGTCTTGGGGTCTTGTAATCTATCTCCTTTAGCTGTCCTATGACTCTGGACGGTGTTCTAGGTTCCTTTAAGAGCTGCTTTCAGGATTCTATAAGGGTTCCTTGAAGGTCAGGCGTGGAATGCAACGGCTTTAAGTTGAGTTTGAGAGTCTTCGCGGTTTGGTAGCCGGAACGGTCACGACATGCGCTACCCGTTGAGTTTGTCGTGACTTGGGCTGGCTTCTTTGTCCTAACTTGGTTAAAATCAGAGTTACTTACGACCGTGGATGGTATCAACATGCCCCTCAACTAACCGGAGATAGTGCTGTGGAAGCTCCTCGGGCTCTGCTTATTCTTGAAAGCGACCAGCAGCTTGTCTTTCGTAAAGGCTGCGATGGGAAGACGACTAGCGAAACCTGCCTGGCATCTCGGCTGCGACAGTCCCAATCCCTACAGTCTTCACCGCACCCGTTTAGACGGTTACCAGAACCTCGCCAGCTCTTCGCACAAACACATCTTATGAAGCAATGAAGCATCGCAGCCCGGACGGGTCTGGGTGGTCACCATAACAGAACACCCTGCTGCACACGGCCGGGGGACGGTGCACCGGCATCCAACATCGGATGAGTTGCTGCAGAACAGAGCCTGAATCACAACATATGCGCCACCGTTCAACGGAGCCTTGTCGAGACCTCTTCGGTGCAGGAAGCACTGCTGAGTATGTCGCAGTGAATCAGGTCCTAACATGACATGGACAAAGATGGAAATGCGAGATCGGTCATTGCACAAGTGTAGTTTTCGATATGTCCTGGTGCGATGGTAGAGAGAGTTTATAAGTCCTACAACCTCAACGCCTCACCCTCAACCCTCTAAGGCCCAAAGCTCTTCATCCTAAATCTTAATGGGGACCCCTACCCGATAATGGGCTATATAATGGGTTTTCAATAGCTATATTAAGGGTATATACCTAGGGGTGCTTATTCAGGGCCCCTCCTTTCACCCTTGGATAAACTCTAAACCGTTCAGGTCACCTGCAACCCGGGCTACACGCCGAACGTTGCGATGCTCACCTGCGACCCCTTGGGCTACTGGCCCGGGTGTAGCCTACTTGGAGGGTCGGGGGACTTAGTAACTGGTTATTTTAGGGACTTATCAGAACCATAGGGTGCTTTATAAGTCTACTTACTACCTACTTACTAAGTCCCCCGACCCTCCAAGTAGTAGAGAAGGCTATTCTGTTACTGGGGTACTACTGCTGAGGATATAGATCCTGCATTACCTGCAGGACCCTAAACTATGGGAATTTGTGTATATTTCTTTTTGTGGGTAATGCAGGGCTTATATCATCAACCGTATAACCCTTATGATTCACCTAAAGGTGAACCTTTGATGCCCCTTAAGCTACTGGCCAGGGTTTAGGTTTTGGGCTCTGGGCTGCTTAGTGTTCTGAACCCTTTATGTAAGTTAGTGGATACTCGTAGGATTCCAGAACAGATATCATTAGGTTGTCGATGGTGACGATGAGTATATCCCGATGACTATACGTGTGGTCAGCTTTTGTTAACTTGTGCTCGAATCGGAGCAACACTCTTGTTGCCCTTGAAGGTTTCTTTTGGAACTGGGCACGACTGTTAAACTTACCTTCGCCCCTCCTTTTCCCCCCCCCCCCTCTTAGATTGGCGCACGTCAAGTTCAAGTCGCATCCGTTTCCGTAGACAGGTCCCTTCATTTCCTGAAACTCCTATGTTGCCAGTCTCTGTACTAGTAGATAGGTCCCTTATTGTCTGAAACTGCTATGTCGCCCAGGCTTCTTGCTGGGCACGCTTCCCTCGTGCAAGCCTGAGCCGTGCCCGGTCAACACTACGCTGGCCGTGTCGTCCCTCACAGACACTTGCGAAGGTGGGGAGATGGAGGGCACAGTATACAGTATATTGCAGTATACATACTATGTGGTATATAGTAGATAGTAGGTAGCAAGTAGTATATAGTATTGTATACGGGATAGTGTAGTATGTAGTTCATAGCTAGCATAGTGTCGCGTATACGGTGCAGTATGGGACGAGGGCTCTCTGTAAGAGGTCCAGAACAAGTCTAGAAGTATGCACACAAGCCTGACAAATCGGTAACATTATTCCCTTAATATGGGTTTAGGGTTGAGGGTATAATTATCTTATCTAATCTAATCCTAATCCCTCAGCCTGACTGTCAATGATCCAACCTATGCCCTAAACTCCCTAAACCTTCTCCATCCTCAAGCCTTAACCCGCGGTTCTAGATGGGAGTTTCCGAAAATAGGGGACCCGAATATAGTACCCTAAGTAGTAGGATCCTGATTATAAGGAGCCCAAAATAAGGTACCCCTATTTTCGGAACCCCCAGATGGCAACCGTGGCCCCCTGACGGGTGTGCGGATATGAAGATGGCATGTGCCAAAACCCTATCCCAGAGCCTCCAAAACCCCTTAATTAAGGAATATACCTTATAAATCATATTAGGGCTCCTATTATAATTTAAGGTATATTCCTTAATTAAGGGATTTTTGGAAGGTCTGGGCTGTTCCCTAAACTCTACACCCTAGCCAGCACCAGTGCCCTAGCACCGAGGCGAGATTCATATTATATATAAGCTATATTCCTTAATCAAGGGATTTTGATATACCTTAAATCATATTAGGGCTCCTATTATAATGTAAGGATATTTAAGGTATATTCCTTAATCAAGGGGTTTTGGGAGTCTCTGGGATAACCCAGGCCACCGGGCTAATCTGGAAAGTAAATCCCTAAATGGGGAGTTCCTATAAGGGAGTTTCCGAAAATTAGGGGTACCTTATTTTGGGGTCCTTGTAATAAGGATCCTACTATTCAGGGTACTATATTAGGGTCCCCTATTTTTGGAAACCCCCATAAAGTACCCTTAGTACGGTGGATGATATAAATCCGGCATTACCCATACAAGGGAATAATGCTGAATAGACCATAGTTCCCGAAGTTTGGGGTGCTTAAGGTAATGCAGGATTTATATCATCAACCCTAAGCCCTAAAGCCTAAATAGCTCCCGTCAAGGAACCCCTTTAAGGTACCCGTATAGATCCCTGTAAGAAACCCTAGGATTAAACCTCAAAGCCTACAACCCCTAAACCCCAAAGTCCTAGTGTATGTATAGCTGCTGTCTGAGATGCCAATGAGTAACCCTGCATCGTAGGTTCGTCCTAGCCAGGCGTGAGGAAAAAAAAACCCTAAACCTTTTGGGATGCCATTCCAGGAGTCGCCTACGGAGCCACCTGCGCGGTCTTTTGTGCTCCCGGGCCTCTCGGCTGAGGGGCCGGGTTTAGGGTTTAGGGTCTGGGGTTTAGGGTTTAGGTAGAGATTTCAATACTTCTTTATGGTTTATAAGGATTTTCTCAGCAGTTTGATGGAAGTGGTTTGTTTTTTGTCGCTTGTTTCGTTTATGGGTGTGTTTTAGAGGATGTTCCATGGGTTTCTTTTGGTGGTGTTGTAGGTTATTTGAAGGTTTATGTCAAGGACCCTCTTTTTTGGACATGTTTCATGCGCAGCCGAAGCCTTCTTGTGATAGCTGCTGAGGTCTCCCTGTCTACGACTGTTGGGGCATTTCGTTTCCATCCCGGCATGCCGTCCCTGAGCCCTAAAACCCTAAAGTTCTCCAGACCTAAACCCCAGACAGGTTTATCCTCAGCAATGGCAGCACCATCGAGGAGCGCTGTGGTGCACAACGGGATGTCTGTAACTGGGGGAGAGTGCCCAGCTCTTTCGGGAAACCTTCAGGGAACCTTCGTTTGTCCAACGAACCAGCCAGAAGCGGAACCACTCTTCGAGGGCTTGACGACATGTACAGAACCCGTTATGCCCGTATAGAAGCCGAGCCCACTTCCGCCATGAGTGGAACCCTGACTCTAGGAACCTCGAATAAACACCAAATCTTATGTGGACACGTAAGGAGCCCTGAGCCAGCACACTTACAGAAACCTGGAAGCACTCGAACCCCCAAACCCCTCTGCAGAGTCCGAGTTGCGAGAGTCTTCACCCTAAACCGTTTGAAGCAAGAAAAGGTCAATTTTTCGCCAGGGACAGTGTCTTGGGTTCCCTAGACCCCAAAACCTTTGGTGCACAAAGGCACCCTCCCTTCCCCCAGGAGTAGAACCGTAATTTTATACGAACCCGTAGTATCTAACAAACCTACCCTTCAAGGGCCCCCCTCCCCCTGGAGTGGAAGTGCCACACTTCCTAGCCTAGATCCCGAACCCCTAAACCCTAAACCGCATAGTAAACTCCGAAATCCTAAACCCCAAACCCTTCAAAGGAGTGGAAGTGCAGATTGGGTTATATAATCTTTGCTTACCCTACTTATAGCTCCCCTACACCCTAACCTAAACCCCAAACCCCTTAAAGGAGTGGAAGTGCATATGGGTTATATATGTCTTAGATTCCCCCTATTTTCAACCCCCTAAATCCTAAACCCCAAACCCCTTAAAGTAGTGGAAGTGCATATGGGTTATGGTTTCCCTACTTATAAACCCCCTAAGCCCTCGACCCCGAAGCCCTTTAAAGGAGTGGAAGTGCATCCTAAGCCCTAAACCCTCATACCCTAAACTGCCCTAAGCCCTAATTACCCCAAACCCCAAAGGAGTGGAAGTGCATCCTAGACCCTCAACCCCAAAGCCCTTTAAAGGAGTGGAAGTGCATCCTAAACCCTAAACCCTCATACCCTAAACTGCCCTAAGCCCTAATTACCCCAAACCCCTTAAAGGAGTGGAAGTGCATCCTAGACCCTCAACCCCAAAGCCCTTTAAAGGAGTGGAAGTGCATCCTCAACCCTAAACCCTCATACCCTAAACTGCCCTAAGCCCTAATTACCCCAAACCCCTTAAAGGAGTGGAAGTGCATCCTAAACCCTCAACCCCAAAGCCCTTTAAAGGAGTGGAAGAGCATCCTAAACCCTAAACCCTCATACCCTAAACTGCCCTAAGCCCTAATTACCCCACACCCCTTAAAGGAGTGGAAGTGCATCCTAACCCTCAACCCCAAAGCCCTTTAAAGGAGTGGAAGTGCATCCTAAATCCTAAACCCTCATACCCTAAACTGCCCTAAGCCCTAATTTCCCCAAACCCCTTAAAGGAGTGGAAGTGCATCCTAAACCCTCAACCCCAAAGCCCTTTAAAGGAGTGGAAGTGCATGCGCAACTCTGATGGCATCCTCTTCCTCAGCGGAACGCTGCCGACCTGCGAGCCTCAGGCGACGCAGGGGTGCCTTTTTTGGGGCTCGGCTTTTAGGGCTTCCTTTTAGGGGTTCCTTTAAGGGTTCCTTTAGGGGGTCCTTTTGGGGCTGCTTTTAAGGTCCAGTTTGGAGTTTAGGAAGTTTAGGATGTCCTGTTTCAGTGTTTAGGTTTAGGAAGCCTAGGGTTGTGTGTTCAGGCCTTAGAAAGGTTAGGGTTTTGAGTTTCGTGTTTAGGTTGTTAGAGTTTAGGGATTTGGGGTCCCAGGCAGTCGCAAAAGGCCTGGATGCAAAAGGGTGAAGGGAATATAGGGTTCTCATAACGGAGTAGGGCTCTTTTGTAGGCTAGTACGTAGGGTTTGGATGGATTTCTTTAGGGGACTTAGTACTTAGAGAGTCCAGGGCTCTTCTTGCAAAGGCGCCTGTGTAGCGTGCAACAGTGACCCTAAGAGCCATACGGGTGCAGGACCTCGTGTGGAAGGGAAGCTCGAACATGGATGCTTGATAGCGTCACATGAGTCATATTTGTTCTTCTATGTAGTCAGTGGATGGTACATTCCTCTAAAGCACTAAACCCTGACTGATTGTCAGAGCACACAGCACCAAAGACCTCGTGAGGCACGCCCGAGTTGTGAGAGCGTAAACCCGAAGGGGATCATCCGATAAAACTGCAGCGGATTATATAGTATGGCCCCTGCTCAAGGATGACACGCAGAAAGTGAGATTTGTAGCTCGATTTGGCATAGCCAACATTCATTGCAGGCGGAGACGCCTTTTCCTTTGGGGCATAGGGAATATGTCTATGAGCCTGACATAACTAAAACCGTGCCCCAAACCTTCAAGTCTTGAGCATTTAGGCAACTTTATACACTGAAGCCTTTCCGAAACTGATCCGAAAACCCGACCCTAGCCTGCACATCTTAAATAGGCTCTAGCAGGTTTGGGAGTTCAGTCCACGCTGTGTTGTGCAGGCCTGCGATTCGGGTCTGCCGGTTCCTAGCCCGAACCTGGTCGACAACTGCTCCTCTTTGACGACAGGTGCCAAGGTTGCACTTCAAAAATTTCAGCCTGGGGTATCCACCACCAACAGTGTCCAGCCCAACCGCCGTGCAACCTAAGCTTCACAACTCAAAACTCCTTGTAAGAAGCTCGGACAGGTCCAACACACAGTTGGGCGGGAGTGTTGCTTGTGGAGCTACATGGCCTTTCCGCTCTCACGTCGTCGAATTTCCGCAGCATTTGGCAGAGAGCGAGTCTGAGAGTGAGAGCGTGCAACACCCCGAACCCTAAACCCTTACTTAGACTTGGACCACCAAAACCCTAAGCCTTACTAATCTGTTACTTACTCCGAGTTGAGTTTTGCATATATTGTTAGTAATTATGAATGTTTGTCAACAGTTCTATTATTGTTGGTTTTAAATGTTATTGTTGTTACTGCTATGATAATTAGTAATACTACATATAGTGTATTCATTGTTACTGTCATTCTGGTTTTGCCCCTATGACTGCGTTACCATTTTGTTATGACCATTGTTCTTGCTCAGGCCAGAGCTGCACACAGGAGTGCGCAGTTGGCTACAGCAGCACAGCCGGTGCGAACACCTACACCTGCACGGAGGAGTGGGGTATTGAGGGGTTGAGGGTTTCGGGTTATGGTTTTGGGCTTCAGGTTTGGGGTTTAGGGGTTTTGGATTTAGGGGTGCAAGCCTGCTTGGGGCTTAAGGGTTTGGGGTTGGGGGGCTTCAGAGATTAGGGATATGATTTAGAGTTCAGAGTTGAGGGTTGACAGTCAGGGTGATCGTGACCTTTGTTTGGGGCTCTTTACCCCAAAGCCTAGGCCGCAACCCTTATTCCCCAAAAAACCCTTAACCCTAAACCTCACGTTTAGTAGCCTTCACCCGACCAGTCAAGGTACTTCGCCAGAGGCCTCGTCAGGCTTGTCCGAGTTACCAGAGCGTAAACCTCAAACCCCTAAACCCTGAAAGGAGAGTTGCGAGAGTGTAGACCCTTAAAGGAACCCTAAAGGAACCCTGAAAGGCACCCTACTTGGAGGGTCGGGGGACTTAGTAAGTAGGTAGTAAGTAGACTTATAAGTACCCTAAAAGGGACGCTAATTGGGGTTATGGTACTTATAAGTCCAGAAAATACCCGGTTACTAAGTCCCCCGACCCTCCAAGTGGGCCCTTGCCTGCAGAGGACGGCTCAGCGACCGGATCAGAGCCCCCACCCTGCCAGCCGGTGCAGTGCGCACCCGGGCCGGTTCGGAGAACCCCCCATGTTCTCGAAGTTTAGGGATTTAGTGGTACTACTCCACGGTTTAGGGTTCAGGGTTTTGGGACTTGTGGGGTTGGGGGTGTTAGGGTTCAGGGTTGTGGAATCCGTAAAAACAGACCCTAAGCCCCAAGATCAGGGCTTAGGGTTTTTTTTGGCTTGTTGGCTTGGCGCTTGGCGTTCAGGGCAGCAGGGTTTCAAAGCCGTGCACGGGGCCTTTAAGTGTTGGTATATAAGGCATCTACTGCTCCAAGTCCGTGTAGCTCAGATTAACCAGTGGTAATGATGCAGCTGTAATGCCTCATTTAGAGTTTATAGAAACCCTAAACCCTAAAGCTCAGTGGACCCAGTGCCTGAAGCCATGCCTGCCTTGCGCGAGTGTGTGAGTCGAAACCCTAAACCCT